AAACATACAACATAAAGCGAGACCAACTCAAATAAGAAACTGGAAATTTAAAACAATTTTAAAAAAAACAAACCAAAATACATAATACAATAAATCAAAATTCCTGCCTGAGCAGGGGGTTGGACTAGATGACCTCCAAGGTCCCTTCCAACTTTATTATTATTGTTGTTGTTGTTGTTATTGTAAAAAATATGTCATAAAAAGCAAAACTAAAATAATAAACTAAAATCTAAAACAATGAAGACGACCCACGATAAAATAATAGCAACAATGAAGCACTCAAGTCTAAAATAACAAACTGAAATTATCAATTAAAATATAAAACAATGAGAAGAAAAGACAGTCTCGTCTGATCTTGAACGGTAGCTAAGGAAGAAGAACGGTGCTAAGCAATTTCATTCCCCCCCCCCCCAAAAAAAAAGCTTTGCAAGTATTTTTAACACTAAACTGGACAACTTTTAAATCAAGGGCAAAATCCTCAGATTACAAATTTATCTTAACAAAGCTCTCTTGACTTGGGAGTTTTAAGGCAACGCTGCTTCACTGATTGGTTTTGAAAAAGATCGGAAAAAGAAGATCTTAACCGAGTACGTTAAGCTGTTTCATCACCTAATTTCTTTCCAAATCAGATTAAAACATACAGCTTTTTTTATTTCTCTTTTTTTTTCTTCTTCTTTTTTCCTTTTTTCTTCTTCTGTTTCTCCCCCCCCCCCTTAGAATTTTAACACCTTGAAACTTCAGCCTGGTAATGAGGAATTATTTATAAACAGAGTCATCGGAAATGTGCTTTGGTGCCAACACTAATCAACTCCTTCCGCCCGCTTCAAAGCAAACGGGGGTGAATTTTTTTTAAAAAAAAGATGCTTTCTAGCTCCAGTTCCTTTTGAGCTTTAAGTAGGAAGCCTGATTTAAAATTCAGTCAAAACCCGGAGGTACTGAAGCTTTAATACACTGCTTTCTTGGACAAACGTTTGATAGAAAAAAGAAAAAAGAAACGTATCATTATACACACCGTATCACGCTTTAATATTGCCCAGGGCAACTATAAACGTTCGCTTTGTACTAAATCTGCTTTTCCCTTTGCTTAGGAGCAGCTAAGCAGACGTAGCAAGTGCATTGATTTACACATTTGCACGCTGGTAAAAAATAAAAAATAATTTTAAAAAAAATCTTCCACCGTCCCTAAACATATGTCATGGATTTTGAAGAGGGGGGAGAGGAACGAAAAGTGAATTCTTCCACAGGAAGGTACAGATGTTCTGATTAAGCCTCCCTGGCTTGTAAAAAAAAAAAAGAGCAATTAATTCATAACAGCCAAAATTCAATAAAGGTTTTAAATAGAGGCTGGGCCACCATTTTTAAGGGCCCGAAGCATCCTGACTTATCCTGGCATCATGGCGAAGAGAGAAAAATTAACTAAATACTTTTTATTTCCAAAAGAACTGGATTTAAAATGTAAAACATGTCGGAGAAATATTTCGAGAAGGGTTCCTGATTGATAAAGAGTAGATACGGTTCCCAAACTGCTTTAATAGTTGTGTTGCTTGTTGTCGTTTTTGCGTTTTGACGGTTATCTTTCTGTAAGCAGCCCAGGGTCACTGCGGTGAAACGGGCGGCTGTACGAATTCAGTCAATAAAATTTCACCAGCCACCCAACCAATCAATCAATCAGCGGAAGTAGAATTCAGTTTCTCCTGAATATTGTGCAGTTTCACAGATTAAGATCCGGGTTTGTGGATGCTATGGAGTCAGTAGAAGCAGATGCCTGTTGGAGGCAGATCAGAAAATGTAATATTTTTGGTATCTCTGAAAAGAAAGCTGTTCCAGGAACTAGTGGAAAAGACCCCCCCCCCCACTTTCTCCTTTGCTTCTTATTCCATTATCTATCTATATTATCTTTATTATCTATTATCTGTTATTTATTTATTATTTATTACCTATCATCTATTATGTAAGCTGTAAACTAGGACAAATTCCAGTCAATTATGGTTAAAGAAAGGTGGTTTAGTTGTTGTATGAATCAAGTCATCCCCAAGGGTTGCGCGGTTTAGAAGAAGATACCAATGCAACTTAATAAAAATTAATAAAAATTTCATATTAGCTCTCAATAGATCTATTTTCCACAAATGTACCTGTCCTTTTTAAAAACCACTACCTTGCGAGGATCTCACTGCATTTTGTGACAAGCAACACCATGAATTAATCATATAGGGTCTTAGGAAATGATATTTCTTCCCTCCACAAATACAATCTTAATTTTTTTCAAAAAAAAATTAATAATAATTCACAGAAGGGAAACTTTCATCCATGGCGATTAGTCTGAATAAAGCCCAAAGGCTAAAATGTAAGAAAAGCACCTCACCAGCTTTACCCTTGTCCATGAATTTAGATCTAAATTATTATTACTGCTTTTGTGAAGAATTGAAAAGGGATATCTCCCTTTCCTACACTTCGCTTTAGAATTTATGACTAATTAAAATCATTTTTGACTTCATGACAGGAATACTTTTTTTTCTTTTAATTTTTTTTCTCCCTTTTTTTTTTGCCTCTACATCTCTGCTTGAAATCTCCTCCTGGGTGAAAACTGACTTGCGAGCAGAAATCATGAAAATTCATAGCTTTGCTGATGACTTTAATAAAGGGAAGGGGAGGGTAACCCTCCTTCTTCCCAAACAGCCAGCTCCTTCTTCAAGATGAAGAAAAAGAAAATGCTATTAAATCAGACTTAACAGAAATTCCTCTTCCGCTCTTCTTCCTTGCCTGTCGGCTCTTAATTTTTATTTGACGTGGATGGAGTTGCATCTTCACTTATTTATAAGAAGGGTTCTAAACCACGAGACCAGCTGGGGAATTCTGGGAGTTGAAGGTCCAAGCCTCTTGAAGCGCACTGGCTGGGGAATTCTGGGAGTTGCATTCCACACATTTTAAAGTTGCCAAGTGTGAACAAACCTCTTCTGTACCCTCCTTGCCCATCTGGAATCCTACAGATGTTTGGGAACGAGACAACTTTCAAAATCCCCAGGCACCAACAATCAATTTTGAAAGACGTAATCCACTCACTCCGGTTTGGGGGAAACTGCTCAGAATTTCAGCAAATCATTTCAAATACAGGCCCCTCTTTACTCACCGTCACAGTTGCTGAATTTTAACTGCCTTATCAAGAAGTCCAGGGGGTTCTCCGGCCGGTGGATTAGCAAATTTCCCAGCAATTCCTAGAAAAGAATCAAATGGGCTAAGTAACCAGGAAGCGATTTCTGGTCTCTGTTCAAAACTTTTTCCACCGATCCAAAAGTTTGCCAAGTCAGAATTAATTAAGAAAAGCCCTCCAATGAATGCATTTATGAGCCCGTTTTTAGAAACAGGTACAACGCCACTTGAGAAATAAATGCTGGACTATTAATTACATGTTTACACTACCCGACTCTTGCTATCTTGCAGATGTTTTGTGACCCAATTGGGTAACATCATCAGTGTGACTTGCTCTCTGTTTATTTGAGTAGCTCTGATCTTGATTGTTTTCTTGCAGGCATTTCATGACCCAACTAGGTAACATCATCAGTGCTAGAAGGGAGGGCAGAATGATGGAGGAGGAGGAGGAGGAGGAGGAGGAGGATTGTGGGCCGTTGGTGCTTCTTGAGCTTGGTTGGTTTTCTTGAAGATGTTTCATTACCCAACTAGGTAACATCATCAGTGCTAGAAGGGAGCAGGGTTTGCTCTCTGTTTATATACAGGAGTTGCCTTGCTAATGTTGGTAGGGATGTTATTTTCTTCTTGATAATTCCTTGATTAGATTGTGGTTTCATTGTCTGGTAGTTCCTTGATTTAGCTGCATATATTTGATTTATATAGAATAGTTCTTGCAATCACAGAATATCTGTCCGTGTCACAAACACTTAGTTTTAATCTTGTTTTGTGGGTTTTTTTTTTTGCAACTTAGCAAGTTATTTGCTTCTCTTAAAGTTGTGTAAATCCAGAAGAGAAATTGCTAAGCATGTTTTCTGAATAGCCTTACGCTTTGAAACAATGCTTTATGACAGGGGTTTTCAAACTCGGCCCTTTTATGACTCATGGACATCAACTCCCAGAATTCCTCAGCCAGCGTGCCTGGCTGAGGAATTTTGGGAGTTGACCTCCATGAGTCATAAAAGGACCGAGTTTGAAGACCCCTGCTTTATGGCCTTTATTTATTTTTTCCAGTCCCCTCAATGGAACTTCTCAATGTCCAGCTTTGCAAAAGCAATTTTTTTTCTTCGTCTACAAGGCAAAATCTATACACATGATCCTCTCCATTTACCTGCTCCGCTCTGAATCTTCTTAACAAACAAATTATTAGCAACTCTGCTCACGTTATTGACTTAGGGGGAAAAGCTTCCTGGTTTATATTACACAAGGACTGATAACAATAAAAAAAAAATCAGAAACCTAGGGGCATTAGAGGATCTGCAATTGGAAACTCTTGTATCTAACAACAATAATAAAAAGCTGCAACAAAAACAGAAGTTTTGTGATGTTTTTAACTCACTCTTTAAAATGTTACTTTCTCAACCCAATGTTGCTTCCAAGTTTGTCAACATTTTGAAAAACTACCTTGCAATTAATTTCTTTACGGGACTTCTATCGGTCAGCAGAAAAACCCACAATTATTTGTAGGGGAACGAGATTGTTTATGACGCCGTTGCTCAGCGTTGTGATCCTGAGTTCTAATCCTGTCTTAGGCAAGAAAGCAGACTAGGTGACTTTGAGCCTGTCGTTTTACCTCAGCTCAGCCCACCTCACCGGGTTGTTGTTGTGGGGAAAATTAGAGCAAGAAGAAATATTGGGTAGATTTGTTACTTTGGGTTAATTATAAAGATAATAAAGGCAAGCTTAAAAAAAAGATCTTTAAAAAGTATAAGAATAAATAAAAAAGATTCTAGGTAGGACCAAACTTCTTAGCGGCACTTAAAGCAGTTTCCCACTTTTGCAATCATGTTTGCACCCTCTTCCTATTAGGATTGAGGGAGGGTGGGCCGTCCATTTTCAATAAAATCAACTGGAGCAAAAAACAAAATGGAGCAAAAAAAAAAAAAAAGCAGCATTCTCCAGCACTCATCCACGCCTTTTTAAAATCCGTGATATTTGCAGGATTAAATTGCAAACATCATGTATTTTTTTCCCCAAAGCACCACCTCCCCGACTTCAAGCCCCATCATCCTCAGCCTGCATGGGAACTGGAGTCCTGCAACTTTACAAAGACAGAGCCACGTTCTACCTACACAGGGCTAAAGCAGTGGGAAGCCTCGTTAGGCCTAGAGCATGCTGGGAAATGTGGTTTCCTAGCAAGCCAGCCGGCCAGCCGGCCGCGGTGGCTGCTGGGAGTTCTCAGCAATTTTCCCTCGGAAGAATTGAGCCGTTCTCCGGGCCGCGAAGGGAGGCGGGCGGCCCGTTCTTGGCCAACGAGCCGGCGAGGCCCGGCTTCCCCTCACCTGCATCATGTCGAAAAGACGGTGCTTCTCCGCGTAGAGCCCCATCTGCGGGGGGATGTACAGAGGCCTCTTGGTAGCGTCCATGGCGCCCCTAGCAACCGCGCGTCGCTATGCTGCGACGCTCCTAGAAGGAGACGAGCTTCGCCCGCGGTGGCGTCATCACCGAGCGACAGACCTCACGCCGCCCACTGGCTAGGCAAAGAGACTGGGTTGCGGCGACGGGGGTGGCCGCTAGAGGGCGGCCGAGAGGCAAAACAAAAAAAATGATCGCTCGAGGGTTTTTTTGTTTTTTTTTGCACGGGTTCAATGCAGGACTGGCTTTTTCCTCGCCTGCACGGGTTTCTCCCGGGTTGTGTGAACGCAGTCACATTTTTCAGCTTGCACGAGGGACTCTCCACATCCCCCCCACCCCCAGCTTCTATTGCACCTCTCTCCCCCGTTAAAACCTTGCGCACGAGGCAAGAGGCAGCACAGCAGCAACCGACTACATGCCTCGGGGGAGCCCTCTCCACCCACCCACCCAGCAAGGCAAAGGGAACAAGACAAAGAGAGTTACGGAGAACTCCTGGGCAGCAAACCTGCCAACCTTCCGCTTGGAGCTCCAGCAACGGCCAAAGCCCTGGTTGGCGGATAGACTGCTCCTGGCTTTGGAGGCTCTGCGGAGCTTTTTTTTTTTTTTTTGCAAAAAGCCGGGCGGTCTTTTCTGCCTCCCCCCCTCCCCCGGGCTTTCCTCGGCTAGTCCCCACGTGTAAGGGGGTGGGTGGGTGGGGGGCGTGGCGGCTGAGCAAGGGTCCCGCCCCTCGGTTGCCCGGGAGACGCGTGTAACAATTGCCGGGCTCGCCTCGGGCTTGCAAAGAGGCGGGCGGGGGAGTAGAGAAGCCGCTGAATCCATCCGGGTGGTCGCCGGCAGCAGCAGCAGCGACTCCGGAACATGCAGAAGAATCGGGGAGAAGAATAAAGGTGAGCCGAGCCTACCTGGCAGGGCTCTTAGGGGGAGGTGGAACGCCGAAGGAACGCTGGATGGTGCCCTTTCCGCGGGCGGATCAGGGGGGATTTCCATGCAGCCGGTCCTGAGTTCCGATCCTGAGAACATTCCAGCCTCAGAGTCTTTGCTTTCACTTCCATGCCTGTGGTTTTTTTTTTCCCCCGGAATCCTCAGCTCATCAAAGGGATCCCTTTTGCTCTGGGTTCAAATCAGTGGAGAAGATATATTTTAAGGAGAGATAAGCAGCTTATCAACTTCTCACAAGACATTCAAGTCTGTACTTTTCCTGGAGAGAACCGAAATAATTTTAGGCACATTACGCCTAGAGTCACGCATGTTAGATGGATGGCTATATACCGTAAATCAAAATAATTATAATAATAAAAGGTAAACCGGGGGCCTTTCCGAAAAGTCATGGATGGCACTTAAAAAAAAAATAAATCTCCCCATTGACAATATTTCGATCGGCGAATTGGCGAGCTTGGACGACCCCTTGTCTGAAATGATACAGGGGGTTGGACTAGAAGATCTCCAAGGTCCCTTCCAATTCTGTTATTCTCCTAAACGGGGTGGGTTCACACGTGCAGCATGTCAGTGGAAGATTCTCAATCATCCAGGTCGGTGCTTTTTTTCAAAAAGCAACCGGACTTTCTTGTTTGTTTTTTCCCCTTGAAAACATTTCGCTTCTCGCTCAAGAAGCTTCTTCAGTTCTGATTAAATGAATGGAAGGATTTATATTCCGATGACTGCAAAGGATATCAATCCTTCATTCCCCAACAGCAGTGACTCTCTTTAACAATCGGCAACGAGTTCGTAAAATCGGGCGCAAATCAAGGACTGTCTCTACGCTTGCTTGCTTATTTATTTACAAAATTTATTTGCCGCGCAGCTCATATCCAACATCCGGGGTGGCTTACAACATAAAAACACTGAGAACATGAATATCATCCATTATAAAAACACGGCAGATTAAAAACCTTATCGGAGGAAAGCTGTTTTGTCGTCGTACACGTAGCGCTTGACTTACCGCCACAAAATGAGCCCCAAATTTGTTAAGTGAGACATTTGTTAAGTGAGTTGTGTCCCATTTGACGACCTTTCTGCCACGGTTGTTAAGTGAATGACTGCAGGGGATAAGTTGGAAACCTTGGTTGTCGGGAATCCGGCTTTGACTTTGCTTGTCAGAAGGTCCCAAAAGGGGATCACACGTGACACACACACACCCCGGGGACGCTGTGACCGTCATAAATGTGAGTCGGTTGCCAAGCGTCTGAATTTTGATCCCGTGTCCAGGAGGGTGCTGGAAAGGTCGTTAAGTGTGAAAAACGGTCCTTTTTTTCCAGTGCCGCTGTAGTGAACGGTCAGCTAAGTGAATTGTCGTAACGCTGAGGACTGCCTGCTTTGCAAGTTTACTCCTGACTGCTTCTCTCTCCCTTCTAGGAGGGGGGAAAAAATGAATGAAATCAAGGAAAGCCTTCGGAGCATTGAACAGACGTATAAAATCTTCCAGCAGCAGCAGTTCACCTTCATCGCTGCCCTGGAACACGTCCGAGAGAACGCCCATGATAAAATTAAGCCTGTGTCCAGCATCGGGCAGGTAAGAGGGACGTCCACCTGCCACCCCTTTGGGACCTAAAGCTGGGGTGATAGAACTGAGGGGGAGATGGGGAGATGAGCAAAGTCTTTGGAGAAAGGGGTCAATCTCTTCTCCGAAGCACCGGAGGGCAGTCGCTTTTTCCAAAGGCCGCTGGACTTCCTGGCTTTTGCTAGAAGAGGTTTTGCTTCTCATCCAGAGAAGCTGCTTCAGTTCTGGCTACAGGATTCGTCTCACACACACACACCCCCAGCGAGGGTACAGATAAACCTCGCAGGAGGAGTGCCAACGACCAGAGGACCGCAAGGAATAGACATCCTTCCGTGCTCCACCATTAAGTCAGAACTGGAGAAACTTCTAGGATGAGAAGTGAGAGGTTTTCGGAGGAAAAAAAATAATAAAGAAAGTCCAGTTGCCTTTTGAAAGGGAAAAAAAACCAGCTTTGGGACAAGTATGACCTGGACAACAGAGAATCTCCAGAGAGATTTACTAGGATAAGAAGGAATGGATGGAAACTAAAAAAGGAGAGAAGCAACCTAGAAATAAGAAGAAATTTCCTGATCTTTCTTTTTCTTTCTCTTTCTCTTTTTCTTTCTCTTTCTCTTTCTTTTTCTTTCTTTCTTTCTTTTTTTTTTCTTTCTTTCTTTCTTCCTTCCTTTTTCTTTCTTTTTCTTTCTTCCTTCTTTCCTTCTTTCCTTCCTTTTTTCTTTCTTTCTTCCTTTCTTTCTTCCTTTTTCTCTTACCTTCCTTCCTTTTTTCTTTCTTTTTTCTTTCCTTCCTTCCTCTTTCTTTCTTACCTTCCTTCCTTTTTCTTTCTCTCTTCTTTCTTTCCTTCTTTTCTTTCTTTCTTTCTGTTTCTTTCTTTCCTTCCTTCCTTCCTTTCTTTTTCTTCTTTTTCTTTCTTCCTCCTTTCCTTCCTTCCTTCCTCTTTCTTTCTTTTTCTTTCTTCCTTCCTTCCTTCTCAAAATTTACATAACCGCCCAACTCACTCTCAGTGACTCTGGCAGCTTACCAAGATAGAAACCTAATACAAAACAATTAAAAAGCCATTTTTTTCTTCGTCGTTCATTGCCTAATTAATAAAAACAAAAAAACAAGAACAGAATAAATACTCCCAGACAAACAAAAAGCAGGCATGCGAAGACTGGACTCATCTCCTTTCCCTGACTTCCTGAAAACTTTCTCTCTCTCTCTCTCTCTTCCCAAACTGAAATGGAGAGCATGGCAGTGTCCCTCTCGCCCCAGCACGCGTTCCCACAGGGCAGCGATAGCATTTGAAAGTGCCTATTAAAAGTAATGGCTCTGTAGCCGAGGGGGCTGTGATGGATGGAGAAGTGTCTGCTAAGGCAACATGATGAATGGAGGCAGGTGGGGTTTTTTTCACCCCCCCAGACTTTGGGGACTCCCGTTAAAAAGAAATGTCAACTCTTAAGTGGAGCAGAATCGGATTCCCTCCCTTTAGGAGGGAGGGAAGGAGAGGAGGAGGGAGGGAGGGAGGGAGGGAGGGAAGGAAGGAAGGAAGGAAGGAAGGAAGGAAGGAAAAAAAGGAGAAGGAGATGAAGATGATGAAGGAGCAGGAAGAGAAGACACTTATATGGATGATCTTTGAAGTAACTATTTAAAAAGAAGAAAAAAATGAAGGATGTCTCATTGAGTCAACCTTCTCTACCTATTGTAGGTGTGGGTTGGACTATGACTCAACCAGTCATATCTCTGTTATCCATCCATCCATCCATCCATCCATCCATCCATCCATCCATCCACTCACTTCCTCTCTCTCATCTATATCTATCTGTCTTTCTGTCTACCTACCTACCTACCTAATATCTATCTATCTATCTATCTATCTATCTATCTATCTATCTATCTATCTATCTATCTATCTATCTATCTATCTATCTATGCCTCTGTCTGTCTTTGTCTGTCTGTCTGTCTGTCTGTCTGTCTGTCTATCTGTCTATCTATCTATCTATCTCTTTCTCTCATCTACCTCTCTAATCCTCTGTCTACATAGCTATCCATTTCATCTATGTCTCTTATCTCTTTATCCATCCATTTCCTCTCATCTGTCGATCATCCATCCATCCAACCCCTAAATTTTGACCAGGGGATCCTCGCAAAAAAAAGAAGAAGCCCCCCCCAAAAGACACAAATAACAATCACAGCAGCTGAATTATCATAACCCAAGGCTTAACAACATGGCAATATACAACCCGTTGGACGGAGCTGAGGGGGGCAGGCCCACCTCACCTTCTCCCCCCTCCGCCTGCAGAGAACCCCAAACCTTGGAGATTTGTCTACCAGCACAACTGCTTTCTTTTTCCAAAGACACACATACACACACAGAGAGAGAGAGAGACAAAGAGAGAGGAAGAGAGAGAAAAAGAGGTTTTATTTTGATCTACTACATTCCCCCATCAGGGTTGGGAGCACTGAGGAGGCAGGAAGAAGAGTTTGAATCTGGTGGGGCCACTTAAAAAGGAGGTGTCTTCCTTCTCTCTCTTTTTTTTTTCTTTCCTGCTGAGCTGGTCACCCCGGGATCCAATTAAGCTCAGGAACTACCAGGAATTGCTCTGGTGCAGGAACCAGCCTGCCTGTTAACAGCTGACCTGAGACCCATCCAGCAGCCAGCTGAGGATTGCGGTTTGCAACACAATGCCGGCCAGTCTCGGATTGGAGTCGGCTGCAACCTCTGCACCCCATTATGTTCCCCGGAAACTTTTTTCTCTTCCGAACTTTTCACGCAGGGAGGGAGGAAGAAGAAGGGGATAGCAGGGAGCAAAACTTGCTAGATAATGACCAGGGTTGGGGTTTTTTTGTGGGTTTTGTTTTTTTGCAAAAGTTGCAGTTTTTCGAAGCGCAAACCACAAACTGCAAAGCCGGCTTGGAGACAGGCTGCCTTGGTTCGTTCGACAGGCTTAACCTGGTTAATGAATTTCCCTCTGGCTCTGGGTGACAAAGTGACAAAGAAACGGGGGGCACAGCACGCTTAGTGAAGTCCCCCCCCTCTTGATAGAAGCAAGGTGAAGCGTGCCTTGTGTTGCCTGCCAGATTGTGACGTGTAAACACGGTCTGAAAATGCAGGTGGTCCTCAGCTAATGGCCAGTAACTGAGCCCCAAAATTTCCGTCGCTAAGCAAAACGGCTGCTCAGTGAATTTCGCCCCGTTTTACGGCCTTTCTTGCCGCGGTTCTTCAGCGAATCCCTGCAGATGTTAAATTAGTAGCACGGTTGTTAAATGAATCCGGATTCCCCGTGGAAGGTCGCCAAAAAGGGATCGCGTGATCTCCCCGGGACGCTGCGACCGTCGTAAATATGATGGTTTTCAATTTCCAATTTTGATCCCATGACCCTATTTTCAGAGCCGTCGTAACTTTGAACGGTCGCTAAATGAAGCCGAGGACCCACCCTGTATTACCCATCCTTGCCCTGCTTGTCCAACAGGTGCAGACGTACATGGACCACTACTGCAACAACACCACCGACAAGCGCATCCTCCTGATGTTTCTCAACATCTGCTGTGAACTGCACAAGCTTTGCCAAAGGCTGGAGTCCCTGCACCCTGGAAACAGCACCACCAACGCCATCTTGGAGAAGTGCAAGATGTACGTCAGCCACAGCAATGACCTCAGTGGCCTCCGGGCTAAGTAAGTTTCTAGTCCCTCTGGCCCTCTCCACGCCCCAGCCTTGCAGAAAGCCTTAAGTTAGCTTCCCTAGAGATTTAACTAGCATTGATGGAGATGTGCGTCTCAAATCTGTGACTCTGGACAGCTTAACGATTTGAGAATGAGTAAAAACGTAGTTTGGGGGAAAACACACACACAAGATCTACAATAGCCTCCATCCGCACAACTCTGAAAGGAGCTGCATCACACCCCCAGGGTTGAGCACAGTTCTTTCCAGGACCCAATCTAGGTTGGTCACCTAAGACCAGAGGTTTAATCTTCCGAGCTTTCAGTCTTCCACAAACACAAAACGGAGACATGGGAACCGTGGCTTACAAGCCACAAAATGTGAGTGCTTGTGGAGGATTGGTTGACTATGTTCCTTCGAGTCACTTGCAACTTCTGGGGACCGCAAAGAACTAGGAGGATCTGTCCTTAACCTGGTCTTCCACGGATGACCCCATCCAGTACTGTAACTGCATCCAGCCAGCCGTGATCCTGGTTGTTCTCTTTTTCTTCCAATTCTGGTCACCACAATATAAAAAAAAAGATGTTGAGGCTCTGGAAAGAGTGCAGAGAAGAGAAACAAGAATGATTAGGGGGCTGGAGGCTAAAACATACGAAGAACGGTTATAGCAATTGGGTATGTCTATGAGAGTGAGGACAATTAACCAGTGGAACAGCTTGCCTCCAGAAATTGTGGAGATTTTTAAGAAGAGGCCAGACAGTCACTTGTCTTGAGATGGTATAGGTTCTCCTGCTTAAGTGGAGGGCTGGACTAGAAGACCTCCAAGGTCCCTTCCAGCTTTCTTGACTGTTGGTGGTTGATCCCAAAAGCCAGAAGCTCTCAACCACCAGGACGGTTTGTGGAAGAGCATGGTGAAGGTGCCAGGGCATAGCATGGTGTGCCCAAGTTGGATCAGCTGATTGGAAAGTTGAATTTTCATCATTCTTCTCCTTCTCCTCCTCCACATAATAATTGTTTCTCCTTTTCCTTCTCCATATAATTCCTTCTCCTCCTTCTCCACTTCTGCTTCTAATTCCTTCTCCTTCTTTTCTTCATAACTCCTCCTTCTTTCTCCTTCTCTATAATTCCTCCTTCTTTCTCCTCCACTTCTCTATAATTCCTCCTCCTCCTCCTCCTCTTTTCCTTCTTCTAATTCCTTCTCTTTTCCTTCTCCTCCTTCATATAATTCCTTCTCCTTCTCCGCTTCTCTATATAATTCATTCTCCGCTTCTTCTTCTTCTAATTTCTTTTCCTTCTCTTCCACTTCTCCATATAAATCCTTCTCCTTTTCCCCTTCGCCCTATAATTTCTTCGCCTCTGTATAATTCTTTTTCCTTCTCCTTCTCTATATTTCTTTCCTCCTCCTCCTCCTCCTCCTCCTCCTCCTCCTCCTCCTCCTCCTCCACACCGCAGGTACCCTCATGACGTGGTGAACCATCTCAGCTGCGACGAAGCCCGAAACCATTACGGCGGGGTGGTGAGCCTCATCCCCATCATCCTGGACTGCATGAAGGAGTGGGTGGCCCACACGGAGAAGCTGCCGCGCAACATGCTCCAGAGCGTGAGTGCCCGCAAAGCGGCCATCCTCCAGCAGATAAACTTGCCAACCCGGACCAAGAAGGGCTTCGACCTGTCAGGCCGGCCCACCTTCGTCACCGAGGCTTGCCAGACCAAGCTCAGCTTGGTGGATAAGGCTCAGAAGCGGGAGAATAGGCGGGCGGCTAAAATAAAACAGATGGGCGGCCTTGGGCGAGCCATTCAAAAATTCCTCGACGGTCCCTGGAAACCGCCCGGTAAAAATGCTTTTTGAACCCAACCAAACCCAACTAAATAGAGGCGTTGTGTGAGCTGGAGGGGGCAGGAAAGCAACACGACCCACACACTTGCATGGTGTCTAGAAATTAAAATTAGTCTCCCTGGAACTGCTTCAGCTTTTCTGAGAACGGTGCAGAAAAGACAGGCCATGCTCGGTTGGGTCAATCAGCCGTGGCCCTTCCCTTCGTAGGATCATTTTTCACAGCCTGCTCAGGGTCCTGTGCCCCGGTTGTAGATCACGGGGTGACCTGGCTGGATGTGGATCACAACCCTACTCCGATTTGCATTTTTTTTTGGTTGGTGTAAAGGCAGGAGCCCAAGCAGCGATGAACGGAATCACCACTTAAGCCAACTAGCTTGAACTCAAGATTGCGTTGGCCAACGGGTCAACAGAGACGTAGGTTGGGGAGTTAGGAAGAGCCTTTCCCATGGATCATTCTGGTTTTTTTTGGGGGGGGGGGAGATCAGAAATAAGATTTCACCTGTCAAAAACCTGTTGGATTTTGTGGTCTGATTCTCAGTTGACTCGGGGGAAGTCCCCATCAAGTCAACCTTGTTGACTTCAGAAGCCTGTCCATACTTGGGCAAGTTGATCAGGCCGTCTTCCATCGGGCGATCCACTTGGATCGCTCGGTTCCAAGGGCAACTAGATCAAATTCTACCTTTCCGCCAAGCTCCTGGTCAAAACCATGTGCAGCCCTAGAGCCCGTTCTCTTGTGTAGGTCCGCACTGGCTTTCCAAACCTGATCCCAGAGCAGACGTACTTAAATCAGGACCTCAGTGATCAGGGAGCAGAAGAAACAGCTGATTGCAAGATTCAATCTGAGTCGGTCCCCGGGATGCAAAGGTTTATTCTTCCAAGGTTTCTGCCTTGTCTGAAGCCCATCCTCAGGGAATGTGTGCACTGGGCACCACAAATACAACAGGTAGAACAGCCCAGTGCACACATTCTGAAGATAGCAACATAAGTCCGAAAGCTTGGAAGAATAAACCTTTGATCCCAGCGACCAACTCGGATTGGATCCTGCAACATTTATCCCGGAAGACATAAACTGCAGATTGTTAAATTTTTGAGAAGCCACCTTATAACCAGGTTGTGCATTTTGCAACCCGAAACCAACATGCGTTGGAAAGCTGGAACTTCACGATTGGAAAACTCCATTCTCTTCCTTCTCGATGTTTACCACAGGGGCAGCAAACTTGTTTTAAAAAATTTTTTTTAAAAGACACGTGCAATATTTGATCTCCCAGTTCTGCTCTTTGGGTCTGATTGTGGTTTTGTGTTTTTTTTCTTCCACCTTCTCACAGGCTTCTTAAAACTACCTCTGCCTTTTTTTTGCTTCCAACCCGAAGACGCTTCTGAATAAAGCCATTTCCCTTGCATTTAATGCTCTTTGCTAAAATGTTCACCAAAGGTGGTTCGTGGCCAGTAGATAAAACCCTGTAGGGACCCCCGCCAGCCCGTTTCGCATTGGGTGTGAGATGCTGAACCACAAACTAACCACGTGGGGGTGGGTTTGCTGGAGTGACCTGTGGTTTGGTTGATCGAAAGCTCGGAGCAGTTTGGGGGGAAAAAAATCCAGATTTTCCTTGTACAGGTAGCCCTCGACTTAACGAAAATGAAAAATCCTCGTTAAGCTTAATAGTGAGGGGTGTGTTTTGTAGACCACTGTGGTTTTTCTTCCAAAAAGTCATCTTTGCCCCATTCAAGCTATCCTGCGTGGATGGCTTGTTTATTTCTGGGACCTTCTAAACCAGAAAAGCCCTTGACTTAACGACGATTGAGTCCACAATTTCTGTTGCTAAGCCAGATGGTTGTTAAGTGGGTTTTGCCCAGTTTTAAGACCTCCCTTGCCACAATTGTTAAGGGAATCACTGCAGTTATTTATTTTTAAATCTGGCTTGCCCCCCTCCCCGACTTTGCCTGTCGGAAAGTCGCAAAAAAAGCGGAATCACGCAACCTCGTGAAACCGCGACCGTCTTAAACCGGAGTCAGTTGCTAATCGTCCGAATTTTGATCAGGTAACCATCAAGGATGCTACAGCTGCCGTTAGGTGTGAAAAACGGTCCCAAGTCATTTTTTCCAGTGCCGTTTTAACTCTTGAGCCGTCGCTAAATGAAGGGTCGTTGAGCCGAGGACTATCTGGAAGAGTCAGAGGTGTTTTAACGGTGGGACCGCTGTCTCTGCCGACGGGACTCGCCCTTATCGGAGCTGCGTAGAGTTTAGGCGAGTATCTGCCGAGAACATTGTAGGCACCGAGAAAGGACTGGGACTAGATCAAGGCTTCCTTCAATATTCAGGCATTTTGGGGGGTTCAGCAAAGAGGGAGTGTGTGGGGGGGGGTTGTGGGGTTTGTGAAAGCAAGCGTTAAAAACCCTACTTTCCCACGGAGGTGCTTGGGAATGCTTCTTGTAGCATCACGGTCTTCCCACCGATCAAGAGGATACAGGTAATCCTCGGCTGGTGACCAATCGGGAATGGAACGTCCATTGCTACGGGAAGCCGTGCTTAAATGAGCCGCATCCTTTTTGCCACGGTGAAGTGAGCCACGTGGTCACAAAGCAAATTCAGCTTCTCTTGCTGGAAGCTATCTGGGAAGGATGGCAAAGGGTGAGCACGTGGCCCTCCCGGGACGCCGCAACAGGCAGCAAAACACGCCAGTTGCCAAGCGCCCCAATTTTCATCCCATCGTTGTGGAGGTGCCCTAACAGCTGTTAGGTGTTAAGGGCGGTTGTAAAGCTCTTTTTTTCCATGTCCTGGTAACTTTGAACGGTCACTAAACAAACGGTTGTAACTTGAGAACTACCTGTATGGTGCCAGTCTTAAAAGATTCCCCTTTTTCAAAACAAAAACATGTTCCCCCTTCCTACTGGCTCCTTAGAAAGCCAAAACGCGCCAAGGATAGTTGAGCGTTTCATCTCTTCGGAATCAATGAATAATTGAGCTCTTCCAACTCACACCTCCAGGTCCTGTGGCGTAAAAAAAATGTTTATTATTTATGGTGCTGTTTATAAAACTACCCTGGCTGTCCTGCTTAGCACAAGAAAGCAAGGGTGGCAATTTATTTTTCCTTTTGTATCTTGCTGGCTCTCTCTCTCCTCCATAATACATATTTAATCAGTTTGATCCAGGTGAGAAAGACTCTTTGAATATTAAACTAGCGTGGAGACTTTTTTTTCTTTCCCAAAAAGAAGGTATGTTTGGTGTCAGGGTTTCTTCAGCTGCTGATAAACAACTCTCCTACACCTTTTAGGCGAGAAGTCCAGCTATTAAACGGGATCTTTTTTAACCGCCCTGTTTTTTAAGGCTTGCAAACCAGAGACGGCTGGCGTCCCTTTGAATCCTTCCAAAGGCTGAATTTGAAGAGGTAAAGAGTCACGTCTTCGCAGCAAAGCTGGAATATGGAGGAAATGGCCTGAAGATGCTTTAGAGCAGTTTCAAGATATTTATTTTTTTAAACTAGGGGGAAAAAAACACCAGAACCTGTGTGTTTTTTGTTTAAAAAAAAAGAGATTCCGGAATGTTTGATCAAGAGGCAAAGTTCAAATGACAGAAAATTGTGGGTCCCCCCCCCCCTTTTAATCTCTCATAAAAGTCCACACCAATTGGAAAAAAAATTGGATTTAGCATTCCATTCCCTTGTTGGGGGCCAAGTTTACAATTTTGAGATGCTTGAGCTGCACCCAGAAACGAGAAAGCAGCAAAAACGTCATAAAGGAGAAACAAAAATGTGTTTTCCAGCCCTTCGCATCTCTAGATCCTACCGCCCTAGGCACGTTACCGAGAAAAGAGTTGATCCAGGATTACTTTTTGATCTTCCTTCCTTGGGGATCACATCCCTAAATGGATGATTGTATGTTGAGTACTACCTGTAAGGCAGAAGTGATATTCTGAACTGGATCGGCAGAAATACAACAGAAGAGAACAGGACAACAGAGTTGGGAGGGACCTTGGGGGTCTTCTAATCCAACCCCCTGCTCAAGCAGGAGACCCTAACCAATTTCAGACAAATGGCTGTCCAGTCTCTTCTTAAAAACCTCCAGTGTTGGAGCACCCACAACCTCTGGAGGGAAGCTGTTCCACTGGTTAATTGTCCTCCCTGTCAGGAAATTTCTCCTTAGTTCCAGGTTGGCTTCTCTTCTTGATTAGTTTCCATCCGTTGCTTCTTGTCCTGCCTTGGAGAATAGATGGACCCACCCTCTTCTTTGTGGCAACCTCTTAGATATTGGAAGACTGCTATCATGTCTCCCCTAGTTCTTCTTTTCATTAAACTAGAGATATCCAGTTCCTGCAACCGTTCTTTATATGTTTTAGTCTTCCAGTCACCAGTTGCTAACTTACATTTCTCTAGATCCACCTCCCCAGGATATTCGAAGCCACAGGAAAAAAATAATTCTATTTCCTCTCTCCATCCAGTATAACCACTGGCCTGCTGAAGTTTTTGTTCTGGTGACCATTTAACAGTTTTGTGATGGGTCTTGTGAAAAAGAACGTAGAACACACAGGGAGCCCCAGAGGTCTTCTAGTCCAACTGCCTGCTTAAGGCAGGAGACCTTACTATCCTGGTCAAATGGTTGTTTAATCCTCTTATTTTTTTTTTGAAGCTCTTTTCTTTCCCATTGGCCGTCTGGAACAGAACAGTTTTCAATCCTGCTGAATTTTTTTTTTCCAAAATGGTTATTTTACATAAGCCAGCCAAGGTGGCTTCCAACTAGAAGATTTATTCTGAAGGGTGGAGTTAAAAAAAAAACACCTCTCAACCCTAAGATGAATGAAAAACAATATATATATATATATATATTTAATTTGTTCACAGTTAAACACAAGCAACTGCCTTGATGTATTAGAACATTCTAGTAACGTCAGCAAAACGCCCTCGGTTCGGTTTTGCTTGTGAAATATTTAGTTCCGATTGTACCATTTCATAGCATCACACTTCATCGTCGCTGTGGCTTTTTCCCCCCCCCTTCCCCTTTTTTTTAAAAAAGTCATTTATTTATTTATTTATTAAATCATGCTTACAAAGAGAGCGAGGCAGGAAACATTCACTCTTTTAGACAGCTCGGTTTCGTTCTCTCTCTCTCTCTTTTTTAAAAGATTTAACTAAAAGCAGTCAGGTTTTTTTTTCCCCTCCTTTTTCTCTTAAAGGGGGAAAAAAAAAACCCAAGGGTTATTATTTTCAGCTTCGCTAACCAGAACTTTTCTCCCCCCCCTCCCCAAAATTGCAAAAAAAAACCCAACCCCAAAAAAACCAAAACCCCCAAACAAGAACTTCATTATGTACGCTACATCCATGATTCAAAGAGTTGCTGTGATAAGGATTTCCAGAGTGATTCCTCCGTCTTTTCGGTGGGTCTGCTGGGAAAAATGGGATAGGATAATTCCACTAATTCATCGCTAATTCATTGCATCTTTTTCCAAAAGCAGATAAAGGAGCCAATTTCTAACCTTTGGGGAGGGGGGGGAGAAAGATGGATTATTTTGACCACTGAAAACAAAGAGATCCTTTTCCATTAAAACTAGGACTGCCTGCGTTGAAAAAAAGCAGAACTTTCTTCTTTCCTGATAAGACTCCCGTGAAGGTATTTCCAAATCTAGATAGCTAAAATGAAAAATCAGGTTGGATCCCTTTTAAGGGTGGGTGGAAAGACAATCCCCCCCCCATATAAGGGACAGGGAAGCAAAACTCAGCCCCTATCATTGAGCTGGATGGGATCTGCAAATCCATCTATGCACCAGAGTGAGATACTGTGGAACAGGGCTCTCCAAACTCGGCAACTTGAAGACTTGTGGACTTTCCAATGTCCAGAAATTCTGCTGAGGAATTCTAACCGCTGAAGTCCACAAGTCTTCCAAGTGACCAAGTTTGAAAGCCCCAAGTGTGAAGGGCTCTACCAGTGTCCACAAAGATGGGGGGGGGGGCTCTCCCAGTTGGAATACCCCTGTGGAATAAAGAGAGGTTGAAAAACGATCCTGGTTGGGCCAAAAAAGGTCAGCATTAGCTTTGCACAGAGTTCAAATTAAATCAATTTTAGGAGCAGAATGGAAGGGGGGAGAAAATGAACGTCTCTCCCTTTAGGGCAGGGGGTCTCCAAACCTGGGCAATTTTTAGGACTTGGGGACTTCCAATTCCCCAGAATGGCTGGGAGTTGAAGTCCACAAGTCTTAGAAAGTGCCCAAGTTTGGACAGCTCTGCTTTAGGGAACGGAAGCTTCAACCACAGAAAACAGCATTCCTCATTCAAGTCTGAGCTTGTAACTTGGACAGCACTACAGCCCCCATCAGCCACACGTCTTCAGCCCATCCATTAAAAAAAAAAAAAGGTTTGAAAGGATAAAACAAGGCAGCAGCTCACAATTTTTTCCTGACACTCTGCCAGCCTCGCATCGCTCACCTGAACACAGCATCCCTAAATCCCATCGCAGGCTTACCGTGTTTTTCTGCTCAAACAACAGTTATTTAAACTCACCATCTGTTTAGGGAAATCTCAAGGAAGGGTTGAAGAGAGAGAGGGAGAAGTCTCTCTCTTTTTTTAATAATAATAACAGTAATAAAAAAAGGTTTGGTTTAAGAAATGTACGAAGGCCCACTGGAGGTAAAAGCAAGAGACGGCAATTTGGGGGGGTACCTTAGCAGCTTTTTCTGACGAGAAGGGCCTCCCCCAGGCTGGCTTTGTGACCAAGGGGGCAGAAGATGTTTGGAAATGGGAGGGGCAGAGAGGATGCCCTGGGTGGTTTTAAGAATCAAGGTGTCGTGCTCTCCACCCAAAGTGAAACACATCCTTGTGAAAGAGACCCCACGCAAACGGGGGAGGAAAAAAAAAGCATTTAAGCGTCCGAAGGGCCACGTTAGTATCCAAAAACCATGATGCTGGGTTTTGAGGATGGAGGGGGGTGGGTGGGAATTGTCACAGGTCTAATCCATGTGCGTGGATGCACACACCCAGTCCCAATGGAGGCAAAGCCCCATAAGTGCTTCAGACTGATGGGTTTTGGTGGCCACCACCAGCAAGAGATCACAAGCCTCCTTAGGAGAAACCAGACTGGATTATAAAAAAAAGGAAGGATTTTGGTTCAGGTGGATCACAAAACCAGCGAAGGGGAGTCTTCTCGTTTTTGAGGAGACACGGGAAAAGGGGAGCAGGACGGACGACGGGGAGAGAACTGATTTTTTCCCCCATAAAAATTTTTGTGCGCTACTGTTATAAAACACTCACCGATCGAGAAGGCTGTTGTCTTCCTTTCCATTTAAACAAAGCTCAAGTCAGGTCATTATATCAGCTTATCAGACTAGAGAGAAACACAGCTAAAGAGAATAAAGTATAAAGAGAAATAGTGTTTCCAGAATATTTGGGGGGGGGGGGGACTCTGCTGGGCAGCTTCCAAAAGGAAACCAAATATATATATATATTCCAGCAGAGAAAATGTGCAGGGCAGGAAAGATAACCCCCCCCCTGGGTTTTTTTTGGGGGGGGGAGGTTGTTGTTTTAAAAGGCAGGAGGGGAATGTAGATCGAAATCCTAAAGGTAGGATTTTAAAACCACACCATCATCAGAGCAAAGTCCGGCGGTACTCACGATGAGCAAGGGTTGAGGAGAATCAAACTCTTTTTAAAAAAATCTTACTTTGGCGGAGAACCGTTCACCCCAGTCCCCGGCGAAAAAGGGGGTGGGTAAGTGGGAGCAAGATGGCTGCCAGCCCTGATTGAGGACTGGTGGGGCACAGTCCTTCAGATTAAGCACACAAAGACCCCCACCCCCCACCCCAATTCGCTCAGAGAGGCCTGCTAACCTATTGCACAAAAGTTCGTTCGGCGGCGGGAGGCGAAAGGGCAAACGAGGAGTCACCATCCCAAGTTAAGGAACCAGTATAAGGGGGAGGGGGGGGAGGCATCAAAGATGGCACAGGGGGAGGGGGGGAGGACGACCGAGCTCTTTGGCCCTTCCAGATGTGGCATCCGTTCTGCATTCACTCAGCCAAGGTCCACCTGTCCCCAAACGAAAACAAACCGGTCCGTGTTGCCGCGGCAGGAGTCCCACGGGTCTAGAACGAAACGTGAAAGCTTTTAGTTAAAAAAACACACACGCGCTCTGTCGCTCTCTCCAAGGCTGAGATTATGAAAAAGTTAACACTGATTTGTTTGTTTGTTTCCCCGCGCGCTTCCCGGCTTAGCTATGACCGTGATGGGATTCGTTGTAGTCCATTATATGAAGCGATTCCACGCTGCTTTCTTGATTTGAGGGAGAGGTGGTGGGTTCCGCGGGACCCGGGGAAGGGGGCAAGGGTCCCCGGGCTTCTAGGCCGGGCCCTTTGCACAATTCAGTCTTCAACGTGCCGCAGAGGCTCTGGAGGGCCGCCCCGTCTTCATCGCACTGGCTTTCGCTTTTGTTGCGGAAGAGCTCGCGAGCTTTCATGCCCAAGAAGCTCTCCGAACTCGGGAAGGAGCCCACGGTCAGCCGGCTGCGGGCAGAAGGAGGCTCCTGTCGCGCAGTGGCCTCCCAGCAGCTGTTGAAGGGTCCGGCTCGGTCGGCGAGGGGCTTCTCCGGACTGGATCCACCGCTGTTGCTGCTACTGCTGCTGCTAGGACGAGTCTGGACGACGGAAGAGTCGGCCTCCCCGTTCCTGCCCAGCATTTCTTCAGCGCATCGGGCGACTGGGTGGGACAGGCCCTCATTTGCCCCCGAGAGCCTGTGGGGAAGGAGAGCAATGGGTGAGGAGGAGGAGGAGGAGGAGGAGAAGGAAGGAAGGAAGGAAGGAAGGAAGGAAGGAAGGAAGGAAGGAAGGAAGGAAGGAAGGAAGGAAGGAAGGAAGGAAGGAAGGAAGGAAGGAAGGAAGGTGCAAGGGTGAGAAATTGCAGCCTTGCAGGCAAACTCTGCAGTCTCGCCGCAGCCTTCCATCTTTCCGAGGTCGGTAAAAATGAGGACCCAAATTATTTCACCCAAGCTATCTTCTTTTGCAGTTCAATCTACCAAATGGGACACTTTAGAACAGGGGGTTTCTAAATCTTGGCCACTTGTAAGATGGGTGGATTTCAACTCCCAGAATTCCTCCTGGCAGGGGGAATTCTGGGAGTTGAAGTCCACCCATTTTCAGAAGCACGGCTTTAGAAGGAGGAGAGAAGTGGAGAATTCAGCCAACGCCCGTTTGGGCAAATTCGATGCATCAGATCCCGGCTTCACTTCGGCAGCGGGCACGTTTCGAGTTTGTCGGGGTCGTTAAGAAGCCAGAAAGAGAGGCAGGCTGGTTTTTTTTTTACCTTTCTTCGGCCATTTCTGCCGTCTCCATTTTGTCCTCCTCCTGTTTCTTCTGCAACCGGTCGCTATCCAGGCAACTGTACAAGCGTAGTATCTCCAGTTCAAAGGTCCGCGTGATCTGCTTCTGGGCTTTGTGCTGCTGCTCGACCGCCTGGAGCTGGTCCCTGAAACGGACAAGAAGCCACCTTGAGCTCAATCGAATCGAATACTTTATTGGGCCAAGTGTGATTAGACACACACACAAGGGATTTTACACAGCTGCAGAAGATCTCCGTGGACAGCTCGTTCTCGGCTTACAACGTTTGGTTAGTGACTGTTCAGTTTCAACGGCACTGGGAAAAAAGTGACCCTCTGGCTGTTTTTCACACTTACGACCGTGGTCATGTGATCAAAATCCAGATTCTTGGTGAACTGACTCCTGTTTCTGACTGCTGCGCTGTCCCGAGGGGTCGTGTGGTATCTCCAAGCAAAGTCAATAGGGAAGCCAGATTCACTTAACAACCGTCTTAACTTACCAATTGCAGTGATTCATTTAACGGCTGTGGCAAGAAAAGCCATACAGTGGGGCAAAACTCACTTAACAACTGTCTCACTTAGCAGCATAAATTTTGGGGCTCAATTGTGGTCGTAAGTCCTCCTCCCCCCCTTCTCCTCCGCTCCATGCACCTTCCCTCTAGCACTGATGATGTTACCTAGTTTGGCCATGAAAAGTCTGCAGGAAAACCACCCAGCTCAGAGAGCACCCAGGACCCCCCAGTCCTCCTCCTCCATTCCACATGCCTCACTCCCTTCTAGCACTGATGATGTTACCTAGTTTGGCCATGAAACGCCTGCAGGAAAACCACCCAGCTCAGAGAGCACCAAGGACCCCCCAGTCCTCCTCCTCCATTCCACATGCCTCACTCCCTTCTAGCACTGATGATGTTACCTAGCTTGGCCATGAAATGCCTACAGGAAAAGCACCCAGCTCGGAGAGCACCCAGGAACCCCCCACTGCCATACTTTCTAAGCCAGCCTAGGGCTCCCTACAGAGCAAGGCAAAAGAGGGCGTTGTCAAGGCAACCTGGCTTGGGCTTTGACGTCCTCCAGATATTTCTTCTGCTCCAGCAACAGGTGATCCTTCTTGGTAAGCTGAGATTCCAGTTCTGCAACCCGGTTCTGAGACGCTTCCACTTGCTGGCTCTGGAGGAGGAGGCAGGACTTGGCTCTCTCCAGCTCCTTCCGGAAGGCCGTCTGCATGATCCCCACTTCCTGGAGAGGAGGGAGGAGGAGAAGAGAGAAACTCAGCATCGGAGGGACCTTCTACGGGAAGGCAAACCGTAGCTGGGTTCAAATTACAGAATAGCTTGGAAGGGACCTTGGGAGGCCTTGTAGTCCAACCCCCTGCTTAAGCAGGAGAACCTATACCATTGTGGGTAATTGGCTGTCCAGTCTCTTCTGGAAAGCCTCCAGTGTTGGGAGCAGCCACAACTTCTGGAGGCGAGTCGTTCCACTGGTTAATTGTTCTCCCTGTCAGGAAATGTCTCCTTAATTCTAGGTTGGATCCGTCTTTGATAAGTTTCCATTTGTCACTTCTTATCCTCTTATCCGACCCCCTCTTCTCTGGGACAGCCCCTCAAATATTGGAAGACAGTTATCCTGGCACCCCCAGTCCTCCTTTTCATCAGGCTAGACACAGCCCATCCCTGCAACCTTCCTTATGTTTTAGCCTCCAGCCCCCTTAGCATCTTAGCTGCTCTTTTCTGCCCTCTCGGAGTCTTTCTTTCGTCATAAATTGCGAACTTGCTTCGCTGGAGACACTAAAAATGGCCGAATTTTACACCAGGGGCCGAAAGGAAAGCAAGCCGGCTGTGATGGCAGCTGGGCCACCCGACACGAACCGGGGTCCAAGGAAGTTACCTTGGTGGTGTCGGCGTGCTTGTTCTGCAGCTGCTCCAGGTACAGTTCATTCACCTCCCCCAGCACCAGCAGCTGCCTGTTCAAGAACTCCATCTGCTGTTGGACCGACTCACTGTTGGAAAGCTGGAGGAGGAAATATTTAAGGCATCTTTTTGAAGCTGATAATCGGGGGTCGCTTAGGATTTTCAAGGGTGTGTAAAGGGCAATTAATTACCCACCCTCTTCTCCTCCCTCCCCGCCCCCGTTATTTATGCTGCCTTGAGCAGAAAGCAGGAAACCACGGATGTTCCCCCCCCCCCAAAGCAATTTTACCTTTTGTGAAACTTGGCTCAGCTGCAGTTCGGTGTGGCACACCTTGTTGTTTGATTTTTTCAGCTCGGACCGCAAGTCTCGGATGACATTGGAACAGTCTTCCAGTTTGGTCTAGTTAAGGGAGGGGGGGGGGCGGGGAAAAAGGCATCCGTTCGTCCAGTTTATGCCAGGATCCCCGTCGTAATTTTATTTATATTCAGCCTTTATTATTTTTTTATAAATAATTCAAGATGTCAAGTGTCTGATTAACGAAACACTTAAAAGGACTTTCAGGCATTTTTACTCCTAAAAGCATTTATTAATGTTACAGATACGTCAGTACAACATGGAGGAAATGCTTAGGACTGGCTTCTTTTCCGCTATGCATGTAAATCTAAGCATTTCCCTCCCACCTTTTTTGGGGGGGTCATGGTTCACATCTTCCAATCAACTTGGAAGATGTGATTTACTTCCGGTTCCTTTTCCCCTTCTGCCTGGTTTAACTATAAAAATGCCAGACAGCTCTGCATATTGTCAAAGCAAGAATATACAGTATTTGCAGCGTTGACACAAGGAGGCGAACACACATTATTACACTTCCTCCTGTTTTCCCCATAACCACCACCGTGTGGGCTGAGAGAGACTGGCCCAAAGTCAGCCAGCCGGCTTTCGTGCCTAAGGTGGGACTAGAACTCACAGTCTCCTGGCGATTGGCCCAAAATCACTCAGCTGGCTTTCGTGCCTAAGGTGGGACTAGAACTCACAGTCTCCTGGCGATTGGCCCAAAGTCACCCAACTGGCTTTCGTGCCTAAGGTGGGACTAGAACTCACAGTCTCCTGGCGATTGGCCCAAAATCACTCAGCTGGCTTTCGTGCCTAAGGTGGGACTAGAACTCACAGTCTCCTGGCGATTGGCCCAAAATCACTCAGCTGGCTTTCGTGCCTAAGGTGGGACTAGAACTCACAGTCTCCTGGCGATTGGCCCAAAGTCACCCAGCTGGCTTTTCTAGCTTAGGAGAGACTTGAACTCACGATCTCTTGATTTCTGGCTTGGCGCCCTAAGCATTAGACCGAACTTGGGGGAATCTAATGGGGTGAGTCTGTTTTCTACAATACCCTGATTTTGGGGGAGAGGTTTTTTGGCGGGTGGGGGGGATGGTAAGGACGGAAGGAATCCAGCCCCTCCTCTGAGAAAACCACCCTGGGAAGGTCCCGCGTGGGATCGCTACCTTCAGCTCCTGACTCTGGCTGTAATACTCCTCCCGCTGGTGCTGCAGCTGGCGGAGCTGGCGGTGCAGCTGGGCCACCATGCCCTCGTATTCTTCCTGGAAGAGGCGATGTTTGGCCTGCTCCTTCTGCAGGCTGAGCTTCAAGGCCTGGATGTCCTTCTCCTGGAGCCGCAGCTGGTCTTTCTGCCCAGAGGGAGAAGTCAGAGGTCAGGAGGCCGTGCCGTGCCTTTGCCCGCTCTTGGGCTTGCTCAAAGGGGAACCATTTGTTTGGCTATTCGGAGCAGGACTCCGCAAGACCCCGGTTTGTTTAATTGCTTATCGAATTTATCTGTTGCCCCCCCCTCATGACAGATGGATAGAGATGGATGGATAAAAGACATGGATGGATGGATAGATGATAGATAGATAGATAGGTAGGTAGGTAGGTAGGTAGATAGATAGATAGATAGATAGATAGATAGATGATAGACAGATAGAGTCAGATAGATATAGTCAGATAGACAGATAGATAGGCAGACAGATACAGATAGATATAAACAGAAGAGATGAATGGATAAAGACATGATGGATGGATGGATGGATGGATGGATGGATGGTAGATAGATGTAGATAGACAGACAGGCAGGCAGGCAGGCAGGCAGATATAGATAGATATAAACAGAAGAGATGAATGGATAAAGACATGATGGATGGATGGATGTAGACAGTGATAGAAGAGATGAATAGATGAAAAACATGACCTAGATGGATGATAGAAGAAATGGGTAGATGGGTAAAAGACATGGATGGATGGATGGATAGATGATAGATGATAGATAGATAGATAGATAGATAGATAGATAGATAGATAGATAGATAGATAGATAGATAGATAGATAGATATAGTTATAGTCAGATAGACAGATAGATAGGCAGACAGATATAGATAGATATAAACAGAAGAGATGAATGGATAAAGACATGATGGATTGATGGATGGATGGATGGATGGATGGATGGATGGATGGATGGATGGATGGATGGATGGAATGAGACAGTGATAGAAGAGATGAATAGATGAAAAACATGACCTAGATGGATGGTAGAAGAAACGGGTAGATGGGTAAAAGACATGGATGGATGGATGGATGGATGAACGGATCTAAATCTTTTCACTGCCAGGAACTGCACAAGGGAACAGCTGAGCCTCAGGGGCCACCCAGGCCATTGCATCAACGGTTCAGAGGTTGCACATCTGCTGGGCAGGAGATGCCCCGCCGCCGGCTCACCATGGCTGCGTTGTGTTCCTCCAGGGCAGCAGCTTTGATCACTTTCCGCAGGAGGCGCCTGTTCCGGACAGCGTGTTGCTGCCGTTTGAAGCGTTCGTACAACAGCTGGTTATGCAGCAGGCGCAGCTGATTCTGGAGGGTGTGAATCTCGTCGGAAGGAGGAGAGCCTGCAGGGGAGACACACCAGGGAAAGATGGCGCTGGAAACACTGAGTCCCCAGGGCGGGGTGTCTCTCTGTGTGTGTCTGTGTGTGTCCAAACTTGTGCTTCCAGGCCTCCATCCAAAATCAAGTTCTTGAAGTAATAACGGACCCGTTCAGGCCAAATCCTCTCTAGGCCAAATCAACATCTCTTCCACAGGAGATATATTGACGAGTCTATTGTTCGCGAGTCGACGGGTTCCCTGCCTAGGGTAGGACTAGAACTCCCTGGACACCCAGATCCCGAGGGGAAAAATTGGCTCACCTCCAAAGTGAGTCCAGTCGGCGGATCGGCTTGGCAACGACAACCTGGAAGTGAGAGAGAAAAACAAAGAACTCAGTATCGTTGGAACTGCTGCTCTCTAAAGTCTCGCGAGATTGGTAGTAATTTGGGGGGGGGGATCCACAGATAAGGTGTAGGTTCACTACATAGCATGGGGCTTGGTTATTTGAGGGACCTGCCGTGCCCCCCCCCAAACTGCCTGGCCAGATCAATTCTGCAGGATTAAGCAGACCAATACAGGTAGTCTTCGACTTTACGGCCACGGCTGACCCCAACCTTTCTGTTAAGTGAGACCTCGAAGCCAAATTTGCCCCAGGTTACGGCCTTTCTTGCCAACTTGAAGAGTCATCCAACGAAGGAGGACTTACAACAGTTCGTTTAGAGCGACAATGGCGCCGAAAAATGGGACTTAACGACCGTTTTTCACACTTACGACCATTCTGGCATCTCCGTGTGATCAAAATTTGGACGCTGGGCAACTGACTCATATTTACGACGGTCACGGCGTCCCCGGGGTGTCTCGCGATCCCCTTCTGACGAGCAAAGTCAACGGGGAATCCAGATTCATTTAAGGACTGGGTTAACTAGCTTATCAACTGCCGTGGCTGCCTTATCAACTGTGGCGAGAAAGGTGGTCAAACGCACTTAACCAGCATCTCGCTTAACGACAGGAATTCTGGGCTCCCTTGCGGCCGTAAAGAGAGGACTTCCTGGATTTGCCAGAAACTGGGAGTGAAGGCAAAAGCGAGGATAAAGTCGTGGCCACGTGACTGTAGGGACACTGCAAACGGCCGTAAAGGCAGGCAGGCAGGCAGGCCAGCTGCTAACCCTGTTGTGTTGTCTGGAGCGGGTTCAGGGTGTGTGCGCACAGCCACTTACTTGCTCAGTTCCCTGCTGTGCGCGTCGGCCCCGTGTTGAAGCAGCCTGTCTAAGACATCCAGCGGGGAAGCAGCCAGGAAGCCATCGTCCTCCGCTCCCGCCTTGCTCTTTCGCAGCAGCTCTTCCGTCTTCCGGCTGACAAACAGGTAGGCGGTCTTCGGCAAGGCCACCTCGAACAGGTGCTCGTAGCCCGGAAGCCACTGGCCCCCAAGGCCGGGCCTCTGGCGGGCCGGGATTTTGCAAGGGCTGGGGGTCAAAATGCCCGTTTCCTGAAGGCCCGCGGGAATCTCCTCGGCGTCACGACAAGGCCGGTCGATGGGCGTGAAGGCTTCCTTCGGGGTGTCCCGCGAGCCTTCGAGTTGGTCCAGAAAAGAGGCCAAGGGCTCCGTGTTCAAAAGCTGCCCTGCGGCGTTCGAAGCCACCGACTGAGACTTCCTCGAGCCGGAGAGATTCTCGCTGGATTGGTAGAAGGGAGAATCGAATCCTCCCCGAGGCACGACGGGCTCGGCCTCCGTGGCGGTGATGGCGGAGATTTCGTTCGAGATGGCATCTGGGGAAAGGGGGGGAAGGGAAATTCCATGTGTTGAGGCCTAATCCTGCCTGTCTAATCGGAAGGACGGGCGGCGCAGCTGATGTTCCAAGCAGCCACGTTCTCACCTTCTTCTCTGTCTTTCTCTCCGCTGTCTTCACAAGAGCCCTCCAGGTCTCCTAGGATGTTGGCCAGGTCGTTTAAAGTTACACAATTTTTGCTGCCTTGGGAGTCTGGATAACCAAGGTCAAAATAATAACAATAATAATAAGAATAATAATAATAAGAAGAAGAAGAGGAGGAGGAGGAGGAGGAGGAGGAGGAGGAGAAGGGAAGGAAGGAAGGAAGGAAGGAAGGAAGGAAGGAAGGAAGGAAGGAAGGAAGGAAGAAAGAAAGAAAGAAAGAAAGAAAGAAAGAAAGAAAGAAAGAAAGAAAGAAAGAAAGAAAGAAAGAAAGAAAGAAGAGGAAAACATAAAAGGAAATTCAAGATTACCTTACTAACATAAATATGTTCCATCAGCTCTTTTCCACCTAGCCAAATTCTACTGGCTTGCCCCAAACTTGATCAATAGTAGGTCAACTCATTTACAGCTAGTCAACTTATGAGCATAATAGGAAGGCCCTCATTACGGTCATTAATCAAGGATTCTCTGTATGGAAGACCCGGAAGAGCTCAGACAAAAAGCTCAAGAGTTGTTCCATTCTCAAGGAATCCCCCACAAAAAGAGACAACGGGTAAGTGTCAACGCTGCAACGAACCTGGCTGTTGGAGGGGGTCTCCTGCTTGAGCAGGGGGTTGGACTAGAAGACCTCCAAGGTCCCTTCCAACTCTGTTAAAACTGTTACTGAATCAAGTGTTCCTACATCAAGATTCGCTGGAGGTTTTCAAGCCTCTCCACTTCAAAGAAATAGGAAGGGGGGGGGTGCAAAGGAACCATCCGGTTCTGAAGACGTTTAACCATGCAAATTTGGTCAATATAACTGGAAGAGGTGAGGAAAAGGCAGTTATTTAAGCATGAAAACTCACCTAAAGTTCTGCTTGTGATATTTTGCTGGCGGGACAGGAAAGGCCTGCCGGGATCTGCTTTTTCTTCCTGGGGGGGTGGGGGGAGAGGATTCAATTCAAATTTAACTGCAGAAGCAATAAACCCTCCTGTCCAAGAAGCGGGGTTCAACTCCCAGAAGCCCCCCCAGCCAGCGTGGCAACTGCAGAGAATTCTGGGATTGAAAAATCTGCACACCTGGAGGACAGTCCACGCAGGAAGGGCACAAATCAACACGGATTGCTTAGCCTAAAGGCAACAGATGGAGCAAAATTGCCAACGGCCCACGTAGGTTCCACTAAGAATTTTCTAGTTAGCCCAAATCGACTCAACCCAGCTTATTTCAGACATTCTTCTACCCCTCCAAGGTCAAAGACGGGGGGCCCTGCTAGAAACGTTAATCTGTACCTTCTTTGAAGATGCAGCGGTCGTTGCAGGAACCGAACTCGGACCCAAATCGTCTGAAATGCAGAAGAGAAGAGAGGTGGCTGGAAAGGTCTTTTCCCAACGGCTCAACAGTAGATAACAGGGGATTCCCAACGAAGTTTAGCAAACTTTAAGCAAAAGAGGAACCGACATGCTTCACGGGTCTTATTATTTGTTCTTTTTAAAGAAAAGGAGAATTGCCCACGCAGCCAACAGTCACCAAAGCGAAGCATCCCATTCTAAAAAAAGCATTTTCTTTGCAAGGGAGACCTCTGACCGACACCAAAATTCTCCCTTGCAACGACGTGTGGAAGCTTCTACACTTGGTGGTTAAGCGAGCACGTCGCAACGGGGCCATTTTTGCGACAGCACCCGTCCCACCGCCTCGACGCTCCAAAGGGCGCCCCTCCTTCCTTAAAAGGGCCCTCGACTTACGACCAGAATTGAGCCCGTTTCCGCTGCTAAGGGAGACAGACACCGGTTAAGTGGTTTTTGCCCCTTTTGACAACCTTTCTTGCCTCAGATGTGAAATGAATCACTACAGTTAGTGAGTTAGTAACCCGGTTGTTAAGTGAATCTGTCTTCCCCATTGTCAGAAGGCTGCAAAAGGGGATCACGTGACCCCGGGGACGCTACGTCCGTCATAAACACGAGCCAGTTGCCAAGCGCCTGAATTTGGATCAGGTGACCACGGTCGTTAAGTGTGAAAAAGGGTCGTAAGTCACTTTTTCCAGTGCCATGATAACCTCCAACAGTCATTAAATGAATTCTTGTTAAGTTGGGCACTGCCTGTATTAGGCTCACTCACCTTCAGCTTTTTAAGCCCATTCTCCCACCCCCTTGAGAATAAACGTCTGGGTAGACCACGGGGGGTAAAGTAGTGATGGAGTAAACCCTTCAAAAATCTAAGATTTCAGGTCTGGGGTGAGGGGAAGGAGTGGGGAGAAGCAGGCGTTGTACCGGCTGTGCTGAAGAACTTGGTGTAAGGCTGGGAGGAGGTCTGCGAAGACTCCAGAACGAGGCCGGGAGAAGTTGGGGGGGTGGTCATGCCACAAATAGCGGAGGGGCTCCAGATAGGCGCCTGAAAAAATAAAGGAGAGAATTTCTGGTTACTCAAGAGGAAGAGAAGGAGGAAAAACTGGCTTCTTGGCCCAATCTGAGCTTCCCCACGTGCTCCCTGTCCAAAATGCACCATGTGGAGAGAGAGGGAGAGAGAGAGAGAGAGAGGGGGAGAGAGAGAGAGAGAGAGGGAGAGGGGGGGAGGGAGGGAGAGAGAGAGAGAGAGAAAGAGAGAGAGAGAGAGAGAGAGAGAGAGAGAGAGAGAGAGAGAGAGAGAGAGAGAGAGAACAAATCCACCTTTGGAAATCCTTTTTTTTCCCCTTCTTTCAATATTTTATTAATTTGTTACAGTCACAAATCCCCAATATTTTATCAGCGACGTATTGTCTGGGTTCCAATATTTAGCTTGCTAATCCGTGTTAAACTCCTTTCTCTCTACCTCGTTTTTCTAGCCATGGATTAAAAGGTATCCCCTGTTCTAAAGCATTCTGAATCTTCTTTTCTCTTTCGTTTTCAGAGTCGGTCTGTCCGTTTCTGCACAGACTAGAATTGTCTTAACTGTCTCTTCCTCCGCTGGTAATTCTTCCATCTTTCCTTTGGAAATCCTTAACCCTTCCAGGCAAAAGAAGGCAGGTTGAAGGAGCTCAAAGAGCCCACTCTGCACACTTGCTCCCTCAAACGACCTTCCCCAAAAGGAAAGATTTCAACTTTGTCCTCCCAAGGCTATAAATCCCAGCCCGTTTACCTGCTGAGGCTCAGTGGACAAGCTTGAGGATTGGGGGTTCAGGATGTGAGGTAGCTGCCCTGGTATCTGGGAGAGGACCAGCCGAGAAGCAGAGTAAGGGGTCGACGTCACGGCTCCTGCAGTTAAAAGGACAGAAAAGAAAACCTGGTAGTCCTTGACTTACAACCACAATCGGGACCAGAACTTGTTGCTAAGTGATGCAGGTTTTTTTCAGCATCAAGACAGAGAGAGTCGTTGGCCTAATGGAAGAAAGATTCGACAGAAGAGAATATTCGTAGCTCCGGGTTGAACTGTGGGGTCCTTGGTGCTCTCTGATCTTGCAGACGTCTCATCACCCAACTAGGGAACATCATCAGCGTTCAGTGAGTGTGGGGTTTGCTCGCTTTTTTATATAGATAAGCGGGGATTGGCACCAGAAAAACCATCCAGCAGAAAACATCACCCTATTCAAGGAACCACAAAGAAGAAAATCACACAGCCCTTGCCTAACAAGAAGCAAACCCCAAATACATTATCACTGATGATGTGATGTAGTTGGGATAATGAAACATCTGCAAGAAAGCAATCAAGCTCAGAGAGCACCAAGGACCCCACAGTCCTCCTCCTCCCTTCCAGCACTGATGATGTTACCTAGTTGGGTCATGAAACATCTGCAAGAAAACCACCCAGCTCAGAGAGCATCAAGGATCTTTATTTCCACCTCTGGCAAAACTGTACCAGAGCCGTGGTGGCGCAGTGGTTAGAATGCAGTATTGCAGGCAAACTCTGCCCACTGCCAGCAGTTCGATCCTGACAGGCTCAAGGTTGACTCAGCCTCCCATCCTTCCGAGGTCGGTAAAACGAGGACCCAGATTGTTGGGGGGCAAGATGCTATCGCTATTATACATTGGGGAGGATTAAAGCGTCTTACCCAGGCTATTGTGGGGAATCACGTAAGGGCTGGCGTCAGGGTCCGCGGGGCGAAGCGATAGGTGTGCGCTGGCGTGTAGGGAGGTTGAGCAGTAGCCCTCTTCATAGGAGGCTTCTGCCGGATCCAGGGAGATTTTGGCACATTCAATCACAACGTCGTGCGTTTCTAACCTCTTCCACCTGTTGGAGGCACAAGGACCGGTCAGCTTCCACCTGTTCCGAGGCTTGCCGCTTCAGATTTGGAAGGGAAACCGTTCTTTTATCAGAACAACGGGCAATCCTAATGACAAGGAGGCTGATTCCCAACCTTCTGTGGTCAAGAGAAAGGAGCGTTATGTACCTCCGAGGGTCCAGCTCGTGATCCTTGGAACCGGTCACCAGCTCCGGATGGATACGCACGTGGCCCATCATTGGCTGGAAGGACAGCAAAGAAATCACATAATGGGGACAAAGGCAAGCACACAGCTCAGCGCTGTGAGACAAGGAGAAGGGCAACGTTTGGGTTGGATAGAACATTTCGTTCGGGATTGACAGATCCAACCCAAGAATCCAGACCTCCAGAGATTTGACCCAAGCAGGACAATCCTGAGACAAACTCAGCTCCAAAATTGGCCCATTTCGCTCTAGATTGGTCCTGACTGATACTGAAAGGGAGTCCTTCCCTGTTCCACTTTAGAAGAGGTTTAGATCTTCTGCAGGTAACATCTCACGTTTTTCCTTAAATTAATTTAATCCAATGGACGGGGTGGACCCGCTGCTCTGTTCTCTCCTGGCCCCCCTTTTAAGAAAGCTTCTCATCCTAAGCTGGCTAGCAGGCTTCAACCCGGTGAAGTCAGTGTGGCCAATAACCATCTCCAAGTTCTTCCAACAGGGAGACCATCAACCTCCACTTGGTTACCTTGACCACCTCTTCAAAGGTCTCCAGGTTTTCCTTCATGCTGTAGTGGGAGCGCAGAAAGGAGACAAAATTGCACGGGTACATTCCATAAAGGCGGTGAAAGAGGGCGTACACGCTGGCGTGGAGGTGGACCAGGTAGATCTCTGCCACGTGGCCTGGGGAGAAAGCCAACACAAAACCTATCAGCCCGTCACCCCTTGGGACAACTCCACACGAATCCCCGATTCTCTTTGGCTTATCACCCTCTCCGACGTCCAAATTCTGAAAAAAGCAAGACCTCCCTCGCTCAAAATAAAATTTGACGGCCTCCATAAAGGTTCTTGATAGGTTCTCCTTGAACTTCCTCCTCCTTATAGCAAGATAGAAATTATGGCCACAGAGAAGACGCTACTTCAACTTTCTCCCATGGAACAGAACCTTAACCAACCGTGTTAAGTGAGTTACTAAGTTATTAACGGCGGAGATTCACTTAACAATTGTGGCAATGGGCAAAATTAACAAAATGTCTCACTTAGCAACATAAATTTTGGGGCTCAATGGTGGCCCTAAGTCCTCCTTCTCCCCTTCTCCTCCATATCATGCACCTTCTGTCTAGCACTGATGTTACCTTGTACCTCTACATGCCTTACCTGTGACAATACCCCAAGGAAGCACTTAACGATACTCCGTCGGAAACAAGAGGAGTGATGGCCTTGGGAAAGCACCCAGATTTCAACCAGGGCCAGCATTCTATCTAAAACCAGAGATTATTCCCCCTCCCCAGTGGGACCCGCAGAATCGGAACCAACTGAGCTTCTCACCTGGGTTCTTCAAGTACCAAGATGAAAGGCGGCCGAAGATGCCAAAAAAATCGTGAAGGTACTGCTTCCCAGACTGAGGGATCATGGGCAGCAAGGTGATTAACACTAGCACCCCCGTAGTGAGGACCACGACGTCGGTGTCAGTCTGCCATAAAAAGGAAAAGGAAATTATTATTTTTTTGAGAGTTAGGCTGTCTCCAACTCCGATGGATAAAATGCCTGGTTGAGCCAGTCAGGATCAAATTTGGACAGAGTTTGCCTACAATGCTGTATGCTAACCACCAAGCCACCATAGAAGGGAGAGAGAGAGGGAGATGGGAATGACAGAAGAAGGAAGGAAGGAAGGAAGGTGATGAGAGGGAGGGAGGGAGGAAGGAAGGGCAATAACAGACTTATACACTGCTTCACAGTGCTTTACAGCCCTCTCTAAGCGGTTTACAGAGTCAGCATCATCTTGGTCCTCATTTTACCCACCTCGGAAGGATGGACAGCTGAGACAACCTTGAGCCGGTCAGGATTGAACTGCTGGCAGCAGGCAGTTAGCCTGCAATGCTGCATTTGAACCACTACGCCACCAGGGCTTGCTCGCTCGCTCGCTCGCTCGCTCCATCCATCCATCCAGTCTGTCTGTCTGTCTGTCTGTCTGTCTGTCTATCTATCTATCTATCTATCTATCCATCCTCTGTCTCTCTGTCTGTCTGTCTGTCTGTCTGTCTGTCTGTCTGTCTGTCTGTCTGTCTATCTGTCTATCTATCTATCTATCTATCTGTCTATCTATCTATCTATCTATCTATCTATCTATCTATCTATCTATCTATCTATCTATCTATCTATCTATCTATCTATCTATCTATCTCTATGCATCCACCAAGAGTCAACACTGACTTGGTAATCAACAAATGAAGCCCCTAGTTCCAAAAACGCACTCATGACATTCCCTTGGCAGACCTCCCTCTTGGTGGAAAACCGCAGAACTTCCCTCCCTTATCCCAACCCCTATCCCCATCTGCCAAACACGATAAACAAGATTTTTATCAGCATCAGGCCCTTACCTTGAGACACTTGAGGAGGGAATGGAGAACAGGGGCCCGAGGGAGCTTATGTTTCCAGGAGGGCTGGCATCTAATCACATGGCCAAGGAGCGAAAGAGTGGCCAGGCGGGTGGCAGGTTTGCTCATGTATTCGTTGATTTTATCAAGAAGGTGCTGGGGGGGAAGATTTTAAAAGGGGAGAAATTAGAAATGTTGGCCACAGACAAAAACAGGGGGCGCTAGAAGATCATTCTGAACAGGAAATGATGTAGGCTGTTGTGGATGTGGGCTGACCCCAAAATGGCTTGTTCCCTGTGAACCGCCGTCGGGAACTAACGCTCTAAGCGCCTTCATGTAAACCATTCTTCTGGTTTTACCTTGTCGTGTGGTTCTTGAACAGTTGTCAGGATGTGCAAAGCTTGATGGGAGCTGGTTTCCAAGTAGTAATCCACCAAAGAATTCACCAGCATGGGCCCACGGTCTGTTGCGATCCGCCATCGGGACGGGGGGAAAACAAAACAAAACAAAACAACCCACAAATCAATTCGCACAAAATGACTCGGTTCTTTCAGCAGCTGCGTAGAAGTTTGACTAAGGCAGGGGTCTTCAGACTTTTGGCCCTTTTATGGCTTTGTGGACTTCAACTCCCAGAATCTCCTGGTGACTGGCCCAAAGTCACCCAGCTGGCTTTCATAGCTAAGGCGGGACTAGAACTCCCCGTCTCCTGGTGAGTGGCCCAAAGTCACCCATTGCTAAGGTGGGACTAGAACTCCCATTTTCTGCTTGTGATTTAGGCCACCCAGGACCAAAGGCAAGAGACCTCCCCCCCCCCCATCAAAACCTACCTGTGGCTAGGTTGTCTCTAAACACAGCCATTATATCTTCCAGAGCAGCCAGGACTGGAGAATCCAGCATGGGGAGGAGATCCCCAATACTTGCTTGTTGAGACATTCTGCTTCACGCTAGGCCCTGACGTGCATGACAGTGTGATCATGCAAGGCACGGTTGCTTCCAGTTCTACATGGGTGCTCCTGTCAAACTAGGTGAAGAGAAAATATAGATTTTGGGGGGGGGAAATGTCCCCTGGGCTCTCCAGCCACCAGGGATCCTGAATTACAAGCTCCCCATCCATTACAGGTCATGTTTGACATACGGTCCACAACTGAGTCCAAAATTTATCTTGCTCAGTGAGACACTTGTTAAGTAAGTTTTGCTCCCTTTTACGATCTGTCTTGCCACAGCTATTAAGTCAGCCACACAGCCGTTAAGTGAATCTGGCTTTCCCCGTCAATTTTCCTTGTTAGGAGGTCACAAAAGGGAGTCACGCGACCCCGGGAGACTGCGGCCGTCATAAATGCGAGCCAGTTGCCAAGAGTCTGAATTTCGCTCGCGTGACCGCAGGGACGCCTGCAACGGTCGTACGTGTGAAAAAGGTTTGTGAGTCACGTTCTTTAGTGACGCTGCAACTTTGAACGGTGACTAAACGAACTCTCGTTAAGTCGAGGATTACCTGCAGTCATAAGGACAAAATCTGGACACACACACACACAAAAAAAATCCCTCAGTTGATGCACGAAGAACAGAAGTTACAAATGTACCTGCTAGGCTGCCAAGTTGTTTCTTCCTTTCCACCACTTTACAATCTGGTTTTTTCATGATCACAGAACTAGGAAGATGGGAAAAAAAAGAAGAAGAAGAAGAAGAAGAGAAGAAGCTAGTGAGTATGTATCTTCCAAAAGAGGAAAGGCCAAAGAAACCTGTAATAATGGTTAAACTGGCACGTTTTGATTTTAAAATATGATTCGGAAGCCCTCAGGAATGTCCAGGTGTTTGCTGTTGACAATTCATCAATATTTTCCCCAGGAGAAACATATAAAACATGAGGTACTACTACTACTATACAACTAGCCTCTTGTGACATACAAATTACGCCTGTAGGTCAAATGTTTAGAGAAGCAAACTGGAATTGAGAAACTTCCTGACAGTGAGAACAATCAAACCAGCTTACCCCCAGAAATCGTGGGGGGCTCCATCACTGGAGATTTTCGAGAAGAGACTGGACAGTCACCTGTCTGAGATGGTACAGGTTCTCCTGCTTGAGCAGGGGGTTGGACTAGAAGACCTCCAGGGTCCCTTCCAACTCCTATTCTAAATACAGGTAGTCCTTGACTTACAATAGTTCATTTGGTGACTGTTCAAAGGGTGCTGAAAAAAGCGATCCAGGACCATTTTTCCCACTTACGTTCCAGCATCCCTGTGGTCACATGACCAAAATTTGGAAACTGGCTCATATTTATGACGGTTGCAATGTCACGTGATCCCCTTTTGCAACCTTCTGACAAGCCAGATTCGGTTAACAACCCTGTTACTAACTGAACAATTGCAGGGATCCACTTAACAACGATGGCAAGGAAAATCGTAAAATGGGGCAAAACTCACTGAATAGTTATCTTGCTCAGCAGTGGAAAGTCTGGGATCCAATTCAGGTCTACCTGTGCTGTCGCAAAAGTTTGCTGACAGCTAAGAAAATTACAAGTTGTATATACTGTAGATACGCACAGCTTTTAAATCTCTCCTCCCGCAGCGTTTCCAAGAGAAAGGAAGCTGGGAAGTCAATATCAAAACCAATAAACGTGATTTATCTGATTTATTCTGAAAGGAGTTCTTCCGTTTGTTCCCATCTGCCATTTTCAGCTTTTAGAAGTCAATAAAAGTTCTGACATTGTTTGTCTGGGGGAAAAGATGGGTTTGCAATGTTTCTAAAAAAGAATGGCACGGCAGGATTTTAGGAATGGCGCTTCTCAACAGATTGGCCGTTGGGAGAGGAACATGTTTTCAACTCCAAATAAAAAACTTCCTTTGGCTGATTACACAATTCGACAGTATCTATTTCCAGGCCTGTTTATTTTTTTCTCCCCCACCCCAATTTGCAAACACAGTTTAGATGCAGTCACTTGCTACTCTGTTTCTAACACAAGGTGCATTTATAAAAGGTAGCTTTTTTAAGGAAAAAAAAAATCCAAAAGTATCTTTCTCCGTAAACTTTACACAAAACAGGAAAAACCTTAGGGCAAAGATGGCTCTATTTCCACCAAATGATTCAACAAACCAAATAAGGACCCAGCATCTGAACTCACATGCACACAAAGACTGGAAGAGGAGGCTAATTGTGGTTAACGTTAATCTTGGTTAGGGCGGTGGTGTCTTTTATGTGTGCGTGTATGAGATAAAGCATGTTGTATAAATGCAACCTGATTTATTTGTTCAAGGTACAGGGTTCACACAGATTAATTTAGCAATTAAGTTAATGATCTCTAATTCATCTTTTTTTTTTTTTAACGTCTGGCAGTAATCGTGACACTATAGGTAACGGAAGAAGCAATTGAAGGCCGGCTAGAGAGATTTTGGAACTAGTACTGTAGTTCAAATTCATGAATTTACATAGGGAAAGATTGATAACATGCAATGCTTAAATCTACTGCTTTACTATATACTATTTTCTTTTTATTTTCCTACTTCTGCAGAAAGATAACAAGGCGGATTCCTGCCAACTTGCTCACATGGCAGACGTCCCAAAAACAGGTCAAGGCTTTTAAAGTTAGTAATATTATTGCCCATCACTTAAAATGAGATTTATTTATTTTTTCTCGGCTGAGGGGGTGGAAGGATTGGGTTGGTTAGGCATAATGTAAGATAAATGAATAACATAAATGGAAATTATTCCCTTTCAAAACAACACTTTTGACTGAATTTGGATCTTAAAAATGAGTCCGTACTCTTGAGGACCTTAAGAATTTAGAGGGCTTTATAAGCTCAAGGTCTTAGAGGTTTTTCTGCCAAATCTAAATCAGACATGCACACAAGCTGTAGATAACTAGACCGTTTCACCTAGAAGCAGTAGCGAGCGGCCAAAGAAAGAATGCAAATGAAAATTAAAATAAAATAGCCCTTTTAAAAAAGCCTCCACGAATCTACCCCTCCTAGGTCAGCCATCATGATTTTTCAAAAGAAAGAGAGTTTTTTAGGAAAAGAAAAAAAGGGTTCTATATTAACCAACTGTTTTCGAAGTTCTATTTAGGCAAAACAATTCCTCTTTCCTTTTAAATAAGTACCAGACAAACAACACAGAGGCAGGGAGAAATAGAGTTGGAAAGGACCAATTAGACCACCAAATTAAAACAATCCTGATAGATATCCATCCATAGCTGGCAGAAGAGGAGTGAAAAACCATATTATTATTGGACTTTCTGTGGCTTAAATGTGGCTACTAACGCCACTCCAGGTTTAGATCAAGAAAACATTTGAATAGCCAGTTTCCAGGAAAAAAAAATAGCATATAATCAAAGAGTGGGATTAATTTGTTAAGCATAGCTGGCTGGCCCTTTTTTCTGTTTTAGGGTTAAAGAGTTCCTCTCTAAGTTCTTCTTTCTTATTCACTCCCCCTACCATGTCCACCTCACGTGCTGTTTATTGTAACAAAGATGAATACAACATAGGGCCATTTATAGCTTTTTAATGACACAGGTCTATTTAGCTCACCTACTGCATTCTGAAACAACCATCACCCAAATCATTTTACCTACTTATCCTGCAATAGCTGGAAGACACCAGTGTGGGGACTCAGACAAGCCTAAAGCTCAGAGCATCACAAAGACAACCCCCCCCAAGCTCCATTTTGAATGTATTGCATTAAAAAAAGTCCTTTATATGCAATAAAACCCAATAAACACCTTTTTTTCTCCTTTCTTCCCAACTTTGATTGCATACCACTCCTCTCTTTCGAATTAAAAGGGAAGATATTCTACCCTTCAAAGGGGAATTGTTCTGCCATTCACTGGGGAGGGGTCCTTTTCTCCCCCAGGTTTTGCATCCGTACCAGCCTCCTCCTTTGCCCCCCCTCCCCAAACCTGACCTTTGCCCCCTCTCCATTTCACCTAGCTCATCCCAAATCTACCTCCCAGATTTGTTTCTTTCTCTCTTTTAAAAGATAATCCTGGTACCTCCTTCCACCCATTCAGGTGCCTAAAAATGCAGGCTTCAAGAGAAACAAACCCCTCTCCCGAATTGGACTACAGCCCCACCCCCTTGATTGCTGGTTTATGAAAAGGGGTCCATTCCTTCCCCCCAACTTCACCCATCCAGCCCCTTGGATTATATACATTATTCAGCCCCTTTCATTAATTCTGCACATAATTCTAACACGGTGATCCTAGAGAATATATATCATAATGTATATAAATGTATATATCATATCATAATATATAATAACCCACTTTCATTAACTCTGCATATTCTATTAAGGTAATGACTGGTCCTAGATAATACATATCAATGTATATCAATGTATATATCGTATCTTAATATATAATATATAATAACCCACTCAACCCTTTTCATTAACTCTGCATATAATTCTATTAAGACGATTGAACCTAGATAATACATATCAATGTATATCAATGTATATATATCTTAATATATAATATATAATAATCCACTCAACCCTTTTCATTAACTCTGCATATAATTCTATTAAGATGACTGAACCTAGACAATACATATCAATGTATATATCATATCTGAATATATAATATATAATAACCCACTCAGCCCTTCGTTAACTCTGCACATAATTTTATTAATGACTGATCTTAGATAATACATATCAATGTATCTATCATAATATATAACACATAATAACCCACTCAGCCCCTTTCATTAACTCTGCATATAATTCTATTAAGGTAATGACTGATCCTAGGTAATATATATAATGTCTATAATATAAATGCTATTCATTACACACACACACATATATACACGCATTTATATTATAGACATTATTAGATGTATTATCTAGCATCACCCGTTACCTTAATAGAATTATATGCAGAGTTAATGACAGGGGCCGGGTGGGGGAGGGGGGAGGCTTGGACCAGCCCAATGAATACATAAACAGATATTAATTAAAAGGGCACCCCCTCCCCCAAAGGCCCAGCAGGCCTTTCCTGCCAGGGAAG